TGATAAGATCAGGAGTAAGCTAACTTAATCTGCAGATAGGATTAAGATCATCCCCTATCCAAATACTGATTTGGATTGGGATAACTCCTAATTAGGAGGTTTCTTAATCAAGAAGAAAAGAGGAGAAACCTAAGAGAGAATAATAATCAGATTTCGAACCTAAGGGTTTTTGTGCATGAAAGCATCCTGCGAATTGAGATTGGATCTCATACACACTCCAGAAAGAAGAGAAGCTATTCAGCTATCTTCGTCCCAGGAGTTCTCCTCCAGCCGCTGCCATTCTTTCTGACAAGATTCGATCTTTGAAGAAGAAAGAAATTAAGAAATCAGTTCTTGACATCAGTTTTGCAGAAAAAGACTGAAAAAGATTTGGTGCTCAGAGTTTGCAGAGGATTCTTGCGAAGGATCCAGTGTGTAGGACGCACTCTGCTAATTCCGTTCCACATACAGCTGTGTCATCTTCAGCAGGAGCGGATCTTGGTGTCCTCTTTGGGCGTGAACACCAACTTTGGGAGATACTGCTTCTCTGGATCAGGTATAATTCCTCCCTTCCCTTTTGGTTCAGATCTGGTTCGATTATGGTTCAAGTAGAATCCTTGAATATTGTATTCTAAATTTAGGGAATACGATTCCCAGTTGAGAGAAGGTATGAAAATTTTTGAAGTTCGCCCACCCATTCCACAATTTTTATGCCATAAACCCGGTCTTGAAAAGATCTTGTTGGGCGGTTGTGCCCTTTTTACCTTCTGTTAAACTTTCTCGAGCTGTTTAGCTCGATATATATATATTGCAATGGTACATACCCAAAGTATGGTGTGCTCCTTGTATTTTTTCTAAAGCGATCTCATCACCTGAGCTATTAGAGCTACATACCCGAAGTAGGACTTTTCGGTAGTCGTTATCCCGAGCTGTCCTTGAACATTTAAGGCATCACTATGGTATACTACGAAGTGATTACCATGTAAGCCCGAACTATACACTTGTTGGTGATTCCTTAGTTCAATCAACGTACTGAGACGAGCTATGTTTCGTGGGGTTTAAACCCGAGCTGCTTACGCCTTTGATATTTCATACTTTGCCTTCACCATTGAAGTGACTAAGTCTTTCTTGATCTCAATATCTTAGTTAGCTTGGTGTTTTAGCCCTTAAGCTGAGGGGGTGACTTATAGTCTGCCCTTGGAGTTTGCCCATGCCATGGAGGCGACTAAGTCTTATTGTGCCGAGGTCGTGTTAGCTCGGCGTTTCAACCCTTAAGCTCTAGGAGTGACTCATGGTCTACTCAGTAGCTTGCCCATGCCATGGAGGCGACTGGGTCTTATTGCGTCGAGGTCATGTTAGCTCGGCATTCTATCTCTTAGGCTCTAGGAGTGACTCATGGTCTACTCAGTAGCTTGCCCATGCCATGGAGGCGACTGGGTCTTGTTGCGTCGAGGTCATGTTAGCTCGGCATTCTATCCCT